AGATGGATTGGCAAAGTGGCAGCATCAATGGGCTCAAGTATGGCAACAATAGTGAGGTTGGCTCAGGATTGGGCAGTGTTTTGTTCTGCTGTGCATAAGGTTGCTATGAGTCAGTATTGACTTGATGGCACCTAACAACAATAACAACATGACTTGGAATTGACTCAATGATAAGTGAGTATTAGCTGCTACTCAATTTGATTAGCTTTCAATTATGTCAAAAACAAGGAATTGAAAATTACCTGGTTGCAAAAAGGACTTTTTACTCAATGATAAAAGCAATTTATTTTAGACTTATGGTGATGTACTAGGCAGTTGCACTACACAGGCCCTCTACCACAAAGATAGCAGAGGGACCGAATGAAACAGACACAGATGAAAATCCTGGAACCCTGAACTTCAGAGGAAAAGTTAGAAAAGTGGATTGAGTGCTTGCTGAGAGGAGAAGCTGAACAGGGACAGCAAGAGAGGGAGACTTACTGGTGAATGGCCGGTCAGATATGGCTCCATTTTAATGTCCTACTTTTCTCTTTTTAGTTATTATATTCTTTTCTTTTTTTTCTGGTTGCTGCCTGTTTTTGTTTTCATTTATTTTCCTCCTTTATTATTTTTGTTTATAATTGTTGGCTGCTTATTGGTTTATTCTGTTTTGCTTTCTTTTGTGTGTTTCTCCTCTTTCTCAACCTTAGGAGACAGCAACTATGCTCATATTACCCAGCCACAATCATACCCTATGCAGCTCCACCAACTGGGAAAGAACCAATACCAGCTCCTGTACCACCTGATCAGTGATAAAAAAATGGCCAACACCAGCCAAACCCATCCTAAACTGAGGTGCACAAATGGAGAAGAGTGCACATGCTTCCATTTCTCTAACTAGGTCCTCAGGAGTCAGTGGTGAGAACCTACGAACACAACAACATAAAATCATTAATAAAATTCAGTTAAAACAATGCCACAATGTTCTGGAGACAACAGACAATTTTAACTCACATGAAGAAACAGGAGAGAATGGTTCAAACAAATGAGCAAGATTCAGAGCCAGAAATTGTTTCTGAGGAAGAAAAGGTAATGGAACTAGCTATACAAGAATTCAAAAGCATGATGATATTTAGGTACCCTCAAAGGAGCTCTGGTAGCGTAGTGGTTACGAACTGGGCTGCAAACCACAAGGTCAGAAGTTCGAAACTACCAGCTGCTCCGCGGGAGAAAGATGAGGCTTTCTGCTCCTGTAAAGATTTACAGCCTCAGAAACCCTGTTGAGGGTTACTATGGGTCGGAACCAGCTCAATGGCACTTAACAACAAAGGATTGACAGACAGATTTAAGAAAGCAAGGAGAACGCAGAAAAATCTCTTGAAGAATTCAGGAAAATACTACAAGAACAGACAAAATAAATGCAAATTCTGAAATAACAAAAAAACCCCAAACCTGCAATTAGGAATCCAGAAGATTAATACTAAGATTTCCAAAATGGACAATATATTGGAGGGACACAGGAGTAAATGTGAAACAATGGAAGCCCTAATTAGTGAGATTGAAAATAAATCTCTCAATACTAGTATGTTAGAAGAACAATCAGAAAAAATGAAAAAAAATTTGAAGAAAGACATAGAGTTATGTGAGATACCATGAAAAGGAATAACATGACTAATCAGAATTTCAGAACAGGAAGAGACAATAAAAAGCACAGAGAAAACTGTCCAAAGAGTTGTTAGAAGAAAACTTGCCTAACATCATGGAAGATGAGAAGATAAGTGTATAAGAAGTTGAATGAACCCAAAATAGGATAGATCCCCAAAGAAAATCACCAAGACATATCATAGTCAAATTTTCCAAAATCAAAGACAAGGAAAGAATCCTGAAGGCAACATTAGAAAAATGAAAAGCTACCTACAAAGGAGAACCAAAACAATTAAGTTCTGATTTCTCAGCAGAAACCAGGCAGGCAAGATGACAATGGAACAATATATATAAAACTCTGAAAGAAAAAAAAAAATTGCCAACCAAAAACCATATAACCAGCAAAGCTATCCCTCAAATACAATGGCAAAGTTAGGACATTTCTAGATAAACAGAAATGAAATGAATTTGTAATAATCAGACCAACCTTACAAAAAATACTAAAGGGTGTTCTTAGGACTGAAGAGCAACAATAGTAGACAACAACTTTTAATTAATATACACGACAACACCACCCAGAACTCAATCCTGATATTTAAGTATACAAAGTAAAACAAGCCCATGAAAATAGGGAACCAGAGATCTTAATTTATAATGACGTAAACTACAAAGCAAAAGGAAGGAATACTATAGATACATAACTTTGAAATGGTGAGGAAATCAAGTAGATTTTAAAATAAAACAAAACTTTTAAATGGGGAAAAATTAATAAATTACAGGGTAGCCTGAAAGAAAATGAATACACCTTCATATCAAGATAAACAGAAAAAGACGATGACACGGAGCAATGGAGCAGCTGGGGACTTTAGATCCAGAGAGGGAGAGGGACTGTGTGCTGAAGACTAGGGGAGTAGGGGTGGGGAGTGTGGGGGGCAGGCTTGCAGGGTATACACTTTGGCTGGTTGATGATGCATGAAGGGGATTGTAACCATGGCAATGAAATGATATATGATAGAATGAA